GGCATTGGCAACGACGAAAACATTTTGTAACTGTCTCTCAGACGATACACATCGTACTGCGTGCTAGTGCTAGTTAAACAAGTGATGTCAACAAATCAGCTATTCAGATAATTTAGGTAAGTCATTTATTTATTTATTTCATAAATGCATAAATTTTCTTGAATTTAGTAGACAGTACTCATTATTTATATTTTATAGTGGTGGCAAAATGATATAGACCAAATTTTTAATCAAGAACAACCCCACCCCCCAATCCCAGTCAATTTATGGTGTCCCGCTTTACCAATGTTAAAATCTGGTCACCTTACTTAAGATCTCACTACAATGTATTATATTTGTAATTAATTGCTAATTTTACACTTGGTTGGGCAATGTCTCTGTCGGTCCCTAGATGTGGGCTATTGTGAGGGCATCCTCACAGTACATATCCGTCTTACTCTGCTCCCATCACCCAGCACAGTGCCTGACTTGTAGTAAGTCTTCAGCAAAGACCTACTGGCTGAATGAATGACTACAGGCTTCCTCCACGGCTCTCTAATCTCTCTTCTTCAAACCTAACTCACTGCCATCAAGTCAATTCTGTCTCATAGCCACCTTATAGGACAGGGTGAAAGTGTCCCCCCCAAGTTTCTGAGACTGTAACTCTTAGTGGGAGTAGGAAGGCCTGTCTTTCTCCGGATGAGAGGCTGGGTGGTTTGGAACTTCTGACTTCAGCAGTCCAACGCGTAACCCCAAGGACTCCTTGGCCTAATCTCTCTAGGCCTCTATTTTCTCCTCCATATCTCCCCGCGGTTGAAGAGAAGCGAGGGGGGAACGGTGAACACTTAATAGGTCAGGAGGCGTTCGGTAACGGTTTTATTAAGCGTTTAAAGCACTGGGCGTCGACAGGTGGCGCGCTCAGCTGCTCTGGTGCAAGGGGCGGGACTGGGGCGGGGCCAGGACTTGGGGCGGGGCCAGGACGCGACGGGGGCGGGGCCAGCAGCTGCGGCACCGCGGGGCCTGTGCGGCCCAGGACGTCCCCGTCGCCTGCGGCCCCGCCTCCCAGGGCGGGACGTGCACGGCGATTGGCGAGAGTGGTCTGGAGGCGGTCGCTATTGGCCGACTGCGCCGTCGGCTCGGCGGGCGGTGTCCGGACGCAGGTGCCGGTCGGAGCGGAGCTAGCGGCGCTGACGGGACGGGACGACAGGGCCGGGCCGGGACAGTGGCCGGGGAAAGCGGAGGGGCCTGCGCGGCCGCCCGGCCCGGCCGCAAAGCAAGTAAGCGGGGCTTGCAGAGAGATCCGGGGGTCGCCGGTCGGTGGGCCGGTCCCAGTTCGAGGCCCCCCCCTCTCAGCGCACGACGGCTCAGACCCTCAGCCTCGGCCTTCCCGGGACGCGGGAGCCACCATCCAGTAGGGAGGTGCAGGGGGAGGCCCAGGAGCTGGACACACAGTAGGCGCCAGCGGAGCCTCGCTTTCCCCTTCTGTGAAACGGGTCGGAGGAGGCAGGAGGTGGCACGCAGGAGAGCGCCCGGCACACAGTAGGTGGCCAGTCACAGTGGCTGTGCTCTCGCAAGACACCCCTAGGAGGCTGATCAATAGAGTGTCTCTCGGGCACTGAGACAGAGTGGCCAGAATTTCTAGTATTTGCTCGTTCAACCCTCTAAAGAATCCCTGGTGGCGCAGCGGTTAAGCGCCCAACTGCCCACCCAAAGGTTTGCGGAGGAAACCCTGGCGATCTACTCTCGTAAAGATTAGTCTTGGAAACCTTCCTGTAAAAACCACCACCGTGGAGTCCGGTACAACTCCTAGAGCCCCTGGGAGACCAGAGCAGGGTTTCCAGGACTGTGTATCTTTATGGGAGCAGACAGGCTCCGCTTTCTCCCTGGGAGCGGCTTACTGCTGAGTTTGAACAGCCACCCTTAATGTTAGCAGCCCGGGGGTGGGGGTGGGGGTGGGGCTCCTTGTAAGCCCTGTGGGGCAGTTCGAGTCTGTCCTGTAGGAGTCCTGGTGCTTCGGCGGACTGCTGGCAGACTGTCGCTGTGGCATCCAATAATAATGTCCTCTAGGATCTGTCCCCGTGCAGAGTGCCAGTCACTTCCCCGGTTGAACGGATGAGGATATGGACGCTCAGAGAGGTCAAGTCTCTTGCCCCGAGCCACACAGCAATTAAGCAGGACAGCTGGGACGAGAACCTGGGCTGGGATATGGGGCTGGGGACACCCTGGAGGAGCCATGCACACAGGAGCTCCTTGCTGGGGAGTGACAGGACACAGAAGGAATATCATGCTTTTAGTCTGTATTGGAAAGGAGCCCTGGTGGTACAGGGGTTAAGCATTGGACTGCTAACTGCAAGGTCAGCAGTTTGAAACCACCAGTGGCGTCTCAGGAGCAAGATGGGGCCTTCTAGTCCCATCAAGAGGTACAGTCTTGGGAACCCCCAGGGACAGTTCTACCTTGTCCTGTGCTGTTGTTGTTAGGTGCCATCCAGTTGGCTCTGGCCCACAGTGACCCTATGGACAACAGCAGGAAACCCTGCCCGGTCCTGTGCCAGCCTCACAGTTGTTCCTATGCCTGAGCCCACCAATGCAGGCCCTGTGTCCATCCATGGCATCGAGGGCCTTCCTCTTTTTCGCTGGCCTTCCACTTTACCGAACATGACGTCCTTCTCTGGGGACCGGTCTCTTCTGACGATAGTCCAAAGGATGTAAGATTAGATCTTCCCGTTCTTGCCTCTAAGGAGCACTCTGGCCTGACTTCTAGTCGTCTTTTGATGTTCTTCTCCAGCACCACAATTCAAATGCAGTCCTGTCGTGGAGGGCCCCTGCGAGTCAGCTATGCAAAGAAAGGATGCCTGTTGGCCTTCACTGGGGAGCCCTGGTGGCACAGTGATTAAGTGCTTGATGGCTCACGAAAAGCTGGGTGGTTGAAACCCACCTAGTGGTGCTGCCCAAGGAGGTCTGGCAATCTGCTGGCGTGAGGATGGCAGACTGCAGAACCCTGTAGGGCAGTTCCACTCAGCTACTCATGGCTGGTCAGGAGTCACCAATCACCTTGGCAACACAGAACAGAGCACTTACTGAGCACGGAGCGGGGTCTTCTCCTCAGGCCCACCCTGAAGCTCCCTGATAAAACCTGAGCACAAGCAGGTGGGTGTGCTCATCTTACTATGAACTGACCTATGGGCTGGCCACCTTCATGACCTCCTTTTCCAGATGAGGAAACTGGCCTCCGAGAGGGTAGCAGTTTGTTCAAAACCACACTGGGGACTACTAGGGCCCTCTGAGTCTTCTTCCTCCAGTTCTCCCCATGGAGAACAGGAGGCGGGACAGGTATGGAAAGGTGGTGGGTCCCCAGTGTCACCCCTGTGAGACTAGCCGAGTGAGACCGAGCTTTGCAACCCACCTACTTTATCAGGTTCTTTGACAAAGGAAGAGGAGGGGGAAGAGGAAGAGGAGGGGAAAGAGGAAGAGGAGGGGGAAGAGCAGGAGGCAGCCCGGAGGAGCTAAGTGACATGTCCTGTCCCAGGACACACAGCCTCCCAGTGGCAGAGCCAGGATGCAAGGAACTCAAGTCTCATGAGCCCCAGACTCACTCACTGGACTGGCCCTTCCTCCCTGTGTGACCTTGAGCAAGTAGCTAACCTTCTCTAATTTCCGCTCCTGTCAAATGGGGGCAGTTATACCAGGGGACTTCAGACAGTTTACGGAAACCCTCCATTGTCTTTTAAAGTCCATGACGTGTTTGAAGCCCCCTCGTAGGTTTGTGGTGTTAACTGTTGTTGTTGTTGTGCCATCGAGGCGGTTCCGATCCATAGTGACCCTGTGCAGAACTGAAGGAAGCACTGCTAATCCTGTACTGCCCGTACAGTGGTTCCCATGCTTGAGCCCGTTGTTGCTGCCGTGGCGTCAGTTCATCTCCTTGAGGGCCTTCCTCTTTGTCGCTGCCCCTCTACTTTACCAAGCTTGATGCCCTTCTCCAGGGACTGGTCTCTCCTGACAACACGTCCACAGTCTGTCAGATGAAGGTTCCCCATCCTTGACTCTAAGGAGCGCTCTGGCCGTAGTTTTTGTGATGAAAAACTCAGCAAACCTCTCTATCACATGGCTTCTGGTCTGTAGGCACGATGACCCAGGGAGCACCTGGTAGGGATAGGCTAGGTGTCAGGGAGGGCAGCAGGGCAGGGTGCTCCCAGTCTGGGGGCAAGGTGAGGGTAGGCTGGCCCCAGGTCAGGTCCCAGCCTGATTGGGAGGATTGTGACTTCTCAAAAGGGTTTGCCGGCAAGCTGGATGAATGATTAAAATGTGTACTGGTCAGGGAACCGCAGAGGTCAGCATGGCATTTAGGGTGATGTTGGCCAGTGGGGCCTAGCCCCAGCCTTTGGAGGGCTGACCAGTGTTGTAAGAAGGTAGATGCACAGGTCCCCGTGCTGGAGAGGTGCAGGCCTTGATCGGCCCCAAATGTTGTCATCTTCTCCCCTCCCCAAAGCTGTGTTCCCACCTAAAGCTCCCCCATCCTCCCGCCAACTGCGAACACCCTGTCTGTGCCCAGGCCTCTGCACGTCTAGGCTCTTAGCTCTCTTACTGTCACCTCGGGTGCTGGCAGCCAGGGCCTGAGGCCAAAGGGCCTGGCCCTCCTCTGTTCTTACACGGAACGCCCATACCTGTCACTGTTGGGTGGGTTCCAACCCATGGCAGCCCCAGGTGTAATAGCTCAGTGGCCCCCTAGGGCAGGGGACCTCAAACATTTTAAACAGGGGGCCAGTTCACTGTCCCTCGGACCCATCGGAGGGCTGGACTATAGTTTAAAACAAAACTATGAACAAATTCCTATGTGCAGTGCACATATCTTATTTTGAAGTAAAAAACAAAGAGGGCAAAAAATCAGGTCATAGCCAATGAGGCCTCTGTGTGAGTGTATCCTTCTGTGGATTCTGGGAACTCCTGCCTTCCTCCCTG